AATATAGGAAGGAATAGTCTTCCACTTACTTTCTTGCAATAGCACGACATATTTAAAAAGAATTATCAAAAAAATAAATCAATAAATTAGATTAATTATAAATATAATTTATATTTCAATAACTTCAAATTTACACTTTACCAAAAGTAATTTATTTTCTTGTATTGCTTTTTACTTACCACCAAAAGTGTTCAAAGATTCTCTCCTCCACCAACAGTCATGCTCAATGTGTACCGGTCTCACTTTTTTAATAAAATAAATAAATAATCACGAAATATAAATTTGAAACTAGATTTCTTCCAACCATTATATATATATATATATATTTATAACCACTTTTTAGTGGTTTGTAAGATTAGTAATCTTATCACGAAAAAAAATTCTTAAAAAATTTTAGGGTAAAATACATTAATTTCTCTTGAGATTTACTTTAGTTACAATTATCACTCCTGTAGTTTTAAAAATTATACTGATCTCCTATACTTTTGAAAATAATACACAAATTCATTCTTCCTGTTAAAAGAGCATAAACGACGTTAACTTGATAGCCAAATTAACCATAATGCCCTTAACTACATTGTGAAAGGATACAACTGACCCTTCTCTATTTTCATTTTCTCCATCTTCACAAACCCTTCTCCCAACACCTCAATGATAGAAACCATTCTGCAATTTCACCTAAAGAAAACCCATTCCCATTCACAAACCTAAAATCAAGATTATGGCAAAAATTCCCATCAGTCTTGCCTGAACTCTTTGATCTAATTCTAGTAGGAATTGAATATTTGTCATTGAATTTCTTTGTCCGAAACCTAAGAGGTACCAAATCTAGATGAATTGGAGTTTTTATGTAAAACCAACTATCTGAATCAAAATTAGGTTAAAAAATCCCATGAATCTTTTCAAATTTCTTGCTTCTAATTAGGCCTTGAAAATCAGTATATCATTATCAACAACAACTACAAATATATATATATATATATATATAAATAAAAAATAAAAAATAAAAAATTATAGAACTGAAAATCCACACCAAAATCCTCTGAAATTCAGCTACACCATACCAAAATCCACATCATTCATTTCGAATCTCTCCGCTTATGGGTTTCGTTTTCTTCAAACAATGCACCAAGCCTAATCAATCTCCACACACTCTCTTTCTCTCTCTGTGTGACACATTTGTACTCTTCGACGATGTCGACAGCGAGACCATCTCATTCTCCGACCGAGAACAACAATAACAATGGCGTTGATGCAATGCTGTTTCTCATGGACCAGATCCTCCGCGGCGCGACGCAGCACGGTTCTTTCATTGCACCAGCAATCGGAGAATGATGCATGAGCCGTTGATGTGAGTGTGCAAGTCGGTGACGAAGCAGATCGATGATAGGCAGAGTGATTGGGCGTGTTCACGGCACAATCATAATTCTCAATCTCGTATAAAACCAGGAGTGGATTGATCTGTGATGTGAGAGAGAGGGAGAGAGAAAGAGAGATGATAACACAGAGAGATGAAAGACAGATAGTGAGAGAGAGAGATGTAGAGGACAGAGAGATGGAATGGCTAGGTTTTGATATGTATGTGTTGATATATATATATATATATATATAAATATATGGATAAATTACACTTACCTCCCTGAAGGGTAGTATTGAAATTTGAAGAATAATTATGGATGATATTAGCAGAATCTAATTGAATTTGGACGAATGGGTAATAGAAAGGGGTCTTTGCATATTAGTTTTAAAAGTAAAGAAGGTCTATGTTATTTTTTAAACCATAATGGAGTTACCTGTAATAAAAGCAAACCTTAGGGTAGTCAGTGTAATTTATCCAAAAATTTAAAGTCTTTGATAGTTAGTTGACCAGTTGATTTTAATTTTTTTTCCAGTTATTCGATCACTATTTAAAAAATAAACAAAAAAAAGTCATAAAATATATTTTTTTATTATAAACATTTTTGTTGTAAGGTTATTCAGTTTTCTCTCTATTATTGTTATCTAGGAGAAATTATTAGTTGGTCCTAGAACGTCACGTGGCATATTCCAGATCAATCACAATATATCATGTTTCTTATGTTCTTCAATTATTTAACACAAATTCATGAATCTCATTATTTTTACTAATCATAATATCATTGGAACATCACATAATGATACCTTCAAACCAACTAATCACTTCTTGTAATTTAGAGACGTGGTTTCAAGGAGCCAATCCAACTTCTTTTTTTTAGCTTCGTTTCGGATACACATTTGGGCTAAAATAATCATATAGGACAAAATAAGTTATTTTAGTAAAATAGGTCATAATTCTAATTTTGGATTGTCTACATTAATGGTCATAATTCTAGAAGATGGTACACTCAACTAATTTTGACCAAAAACTAAAAAAATAAAAAAATACAAACATATACATACATACATGCATACATACTATAAAGGGAAGTGATTGAGACCCCCTCTAATCACTACCTCCACCATCCTCACACACACATGGGGGCTAGTGATTGGAGGGGAAGAAAAGAAGAAAAAAAAAAAAACTGGCCAATCAGAGAGAGAGGGGGTTGTGGGGGTGCCCCTTTGTGGGGGTTCAAGTCATTTTCCATACTATAAAACATAAGGAAAATGTTTGGGACCCCCATGACCCCACTAATGTATTGACCATTAATGTGTTTAAATTTTTTTTTCTATCTCTGGCAGTGACATGAATGGTCCAAATTATTTTGAGAGTTGTGGGACTTCTATTTTGTGGAGATTTCTATCATTATTGAAAACATAATTTTCACACAAAAGGGGAGATGATGTGACATAGTTACTTTTAATTTATGAATTGACGCGATTTGCCTTTTTTTTTTTTTTTTTTTTTAAGGAGTGTAAAAATGGCTCGCGGCCCGTGGATGGCTCGAAGTCGGCCTGTGGCCTCGGGTGGGTCTGGCCCGTTTAGGTCCATTTGGACTCGGGCCCGAGCCCAGTCCAAGGCCCTGGCCTGAGCTATCATTTTGAAGCTCGGCTCGGCCCACTTAAGGCCCACTCAAGGCCCGAATTAAAGCCCGATGTCTTTTTTAGTGAAAAATAATAAAATTTTAATAGAAAAATTTTTAAAAAATAAAAAAAAAAGGCAAGGCCAGGCCCAAGCCTATAAGGTCCGCCCCACCGAAGGCCCAAATACCCCTCGGTTCGGTCCTGGGCCTAATTTTTTAGCCCGTGGCCCGGCCTGACCTGAATTTTGGTAGGAGCCTGCCAGGCCTAACATGGGCCGGGCCGGGCCAAATTTACGCCCCTAAAAAAAAAAATTACGAAAAAATAGTACATTTTTCATATTTTTGTGTATTTATTAATTTTTTAAAATATTTTTTCACAAATATTTTACTTTTTTAAAAAGTAAAAAAATTTCCTAAAATATTCACTAAAAATAAAAAAATGCGAAAAAATAAAAAATTCAATTTAAAAAAAATTAAATTTAAAAAAATGAATAAAACTTGTCATTGCCATTTCGTATAAGTCTCTCTTTTTACTTTGGTCAATTATGATTATTGTTTTTTTTTTTTATGAAATTTTTATAGACGTGTATGTATAAAATTTGTGGGATAATTTTTTAAATGGAAAAATTTTATGTCAGTGTAAAATTTAAAAAGTAATTACAATAAGTGATAAATTTTATAACTATTAATAATTAAAATCACAATTATTTTTTATAAATATATAATATATTTTTTTAATTATCACTTATTGGTAATTTTTTTCTTTCTAAAATCATTTGACTGAAATTTTGTGTGACATTATTTTTGTCGTACTTTTAAATTAAATGAAAAATTATAATTAACTTTTATCTTCTAATTAATGAAAAATGAAACTGTACTATAAAGTTGCTTACTATATAAGGAGTATTAGGGAGCATAATATGAATAAATATCACATATGATATACCGAGCCTATTTCCTGTGAAGCTACCAAGGTAGTATGACTGAAAAAGATGTCCATAATTAGCATTTGCTAGTCTCACTTTGCTAATTTTTCAGGACGGACTAAAAAGTAAAAAAGTTTTTGCTGAAAAGTTTTTATAATTTTAATGAACAAAACACTAAAGATGAAATTTCAAAAAGAAAAAGAAAAAAAGAACCAACTTAAAATTTGGGAGAGAAATTGCATTCGTGTTGTACTTAAAAACATTCTATACTCACAGCACTTAGTTTAATCAAGGACTTAAATTTCTTGAATAGTTTGATTTTTATATTTTAAGTTAATTTTTTACTTAGTTTTTCTGTTTCAATTAGAAGTTAAAATTAACAATTTTGAAATATTTGTTAGTATCTTACAATGTATACATAGAAAAAGTCAATGAAAATTTGAATAGAATAACCAAATTGAAATTAAATTTAAAGTCTAGGGATCAAACTGTTCAATTTAAAATAATGGAGATCAAAATAAAATTTGAATTAAATTATAAAAATAAAATGTATATTTTATCCATTAATCAATAAATCTAAGTGCATAGATTCAAACACAAATGTGTCATGAAGGATGGATTTCATATGATTATAGTTCTTATAAAATATTTGTATCTCATAGTGTTTGATTGAATTTGTAATCGTAAAGGAGACTTATGTGTAAGTTATAATAGGTGAACTTATTGTCTAATAGGTCTTATAATAATTAATGGATTTTTTTATCAAATACTATTAAAAAATGTCACAAATTGTTAATTTTCAGCGACAGTTTGACAATTGTCACAAAAATGTCATTAATTATAAGTTTTAATGATAGTTTAAAAAAATCGTCACAAAAAAAGGCCACTAATTTTAAATTTCAGAGATAGTTTAAAAAATTTATCACAAAAAAGTCCTTAATTGTAAATTTCATGGACAATTTATAAAAATCGTCAAAAAAAAAAAAAAAAAAACATGCGGCAGTTATCCTATATTGTTTTGCATTGATATTATAGAAAGCAATGTATGATCGATCTGATTTAGCTCTGGTTTTGCATGAATGATATAATATAGAGTGAGGGTTGCTAACGAGCTCGGAGCAGGCAATGCAAAAGGCGCGAAATTTGCAACGATAGTTGCAGTGATGACATCTTTAGCGATTGGTCTCTTCTTCTGGTTGTTGATTCTCATTTTTCACAATGAGATTGCCCTAATATTCACTTCCAGCAAACCTATCCTTGAAGCTGTAGACAAGCTCTCTATGCTTTTAGCCTTTACTCTTCTCCTCAATAGTGTCCAACCAGTTCTCTCTGGTAAGTCCCTTCTTCTTCATTTGTATAATTTCTTTTGGGTTAATTACACTTTACACTTCTACCATTTATCTTTAATCCATACCAATCTATTATTTTTCAATTATAACAATTAATCTCATACTTGTTGCCTTTTTGTGAGCTGTTATTGTATGGCTGATGAAAATGGTCATGCGGTGTTGCACTTATAAAATGCCACAATGACATTTTCCGGCCATAAATCAAAGGGCTCATAGAAGGTTAACATTAAAATTCCTCATAAATATAGGAAATTGATTGATATAATTGAAAAATGACACTAATATGAGATTTTAAGGTAAAATACCAAAAATGTGCGTCTCTATCTATTTTAATTACCAAAATTGGTTTTTGTTTATTCTTTTTTAATGAATGATAGGGGTGGCGGTTGGATCGGGATGGCAATCGTATGTTGCATACATTAACATAGGTTGTTACTATCTGCTTGGAGTGCCCCTTGGCTTTGTAATGGGATGGGTTTTTAACCAAGGAGTCATGGTACGTATTTGTGTTCCCTTGTCTTTCTTCCTCTCCATTTTTCATTTCTTTTATTGATATACACATTCTTGCTCATTTATTTATTTTTACCGCCATTGATTTATTTAACTACTTTTAATTTTCTTCTTCTTCTACTTCTTCTTCTTCTTCTTTGCGGTCGCAAAAAGTATTTGCCACCCCCACATTCGCGACCCCCATTTGCCGTCGCATGGGCCGTCGCAAAAAGTCTTTTGCGACTGTTTTTTATTATTTGCGACGGTTTATAGCGGTCGCAAAAAGTGGTTTTTTTAGTAGTGTAATGATGAAATTAACATAAATAGGGTATTCTTGGCTAACAACTTAATTGGGATATATTCTTGAGTTATGATGCAAGTCATTTCCTTCTTTCTTTTATTAATAAAATCTTTTCTTCGGTGATCAAAAAAATAAATAGGGTATATGGGCTGGAATGATTTTTGGTGGAACTGCAGTTCAAACTGTGATATTGGCCATCATTACTATCAGATGTGACTGGGAAAAAGAGGTAAGGACCTATTTTTAAAGGTGGATATATATATATATTTGTGATATTGTTACAAATAATATTAAATAATTTTTGAAGATGAACTAGTGTTCAATATTACTGATGACACCAACGCCCATGGTTCGCCGTATCTTGTATTGGGTATCGGTATTGACCACAAGGTATTATTATCGATAATATTGGTCAGTATAAATTAAGAATCAGGTGTCGTCACCGTGAAACTTTTTAACCAATTTTCAGTAATTTCTTTCATTTCGTGGTGAGTACTGGCTTGTCACGGTTTGTATAACAGTTACATCCCATTATGTAATGGGAATTGGCCAGTTCGCCGGATATTTTCGTTCATACCAATACACTAGTGAATATCTATAACGGGACTGAAAAATCTAGAAATCCCCTAAATATTGATTTGTGATTATGTATCAATTTTACCGAATAAATAGTAATTCCAATCAAACAATCAGAGACAAATCAACACAACGATTTAACATGGAAAAACTATAATTGGAGCGCCTCCAATTGTGATAAAAAACTACGGGCAAAAGCCTCAAAACAATCCACTAAGAAGATATAAAGGAATTACACAAGTGTTATCTCAATTACCTAACAAATCCACGCCCGAATCGAATTGACCCTTATGTGCCTCTTTCAGCCCCGTCTTCACCTCGGAATTGTCTTGCCCAACGTTGAATCCACAATGCCGATGTCGAATCACGACGATGAGCCACTCCGGAGTCCACCAAAGCTTCAGGCATGAATTCCACAGAATCCACCGAAGAACAATACTCTCTTTTGTATTGAACGAAACAAGCAATCCTTTGATGTATACTTTTCAAACCAGATTTAAACTCAAACGAACATCAAAGAAACTAGCAAAGAAGCTCTAGATATAAACCCTAATATCCAAGAAGAAGATCTGGAAGCTGTAACCCTAAAAACGGATAAAGCCATATGTTTATAGAAAACTGATCCGTGATCTTCGTTCTAGAGGATTGACGCTCGAGCGCAGGAAGTTCCGCTTGAGCGCAAAAACACAACTTCTAGTATTTTTGCAGACAGTTCAAACTTTTGGAACTAAAGATTCTTCGCTTGAGCGCACAAATGGCCGCTCGAGTAGACAAGCAACTTCGACTGTATTTTTGCTTTTTGCTTCAGGGGCGCTGCCCTCGACCCTGCCTGGGCGTTACTCCCTAAACCCCCGCGAGTTGACTAGGCAGCTTGATCCCTAACATAGTTAGCGAGGTGGCAATCATGAAAGAATTAATTTTTGAAACATTTCTGCAAGACACAATTCGGGTTGAATTTGCATATAAAAACTCATAGCCTCATTGAAATGAAAGTTGAACAAAATTACAACTGAAAAGTGTTTTGTCAAACGGGATTGTGAAGAATAAAAACCTAACAATCTCCCTCTTTGGCAATACCATGACCAAACACACCTAATAAATAAAATCTTAATCACTTTAACCCATTACAACCATTAAAAATAAACTTCTTTCTCAAGGTCATGATCTGCAAAACAACTATTAGTGTCACAATCTCTAAAATAATTATTAGTGCTACAAGAGTATATGACAAAGCAATAGACATATGACAAGATTATTTTGAAGCATGAGATGGAAATATGAATAGATATAAATTGGAGATTTTATGTAGCAAGAAAACATGAACTTTTACTCATGCACTCGATACATGGCATGAATACATGAAATACTAAGACACATGCACCCGACAACATTTCTCTCACTTTTTGCCACGAATTGACAAAGGAAGCTCAAACAACGAAAGCAAGAAGTAAGCAATTAAACAAGCAGGGCCAAGACAATGGAAAAATTAATAACCTGCAAGAAATAAGCAATAAACAAACAGTGGATAGCAACACACGAACCAACTAATGCCATACTCCCTTATCAAACCAATCAAAGATGAACCAAACTCCCCTTCACTAAAAGCAACCACAAACACTGAAAATAATGAACAAGAAGAAAACGACAAAAATTATATGGTAGAGCAAGTAAGGAATTTCATATTTGTACCTTAAAACACACAAGGTTATCCAAGAAGTACAATTACTTGAAAACACAATGTCCACAGCCTCTAGAAGATTTCTCATAAAAGAAAGTGATGCATTATGTGAAAAGCATAGATCCCATGATAAAAGTGTGCGTGTGACACTTGGAGTTCGACAAACACAAGATTCAAATCCTAATCGTGATCTGAAAGCTAGACCTCCGGCAAGAGAATCTAAGCACAACAAAGGAAAGTCAAACCACTAAGAATCAAGGGGTATTTGTTGAGTAAAGGCGGAGGCTTCTCCTCAATCAATGAATCTTCTCTTTTTCTTTGTTTTCTTTATGTCTTTTGCACATTTTTTCTTTCTTTTGCACACTTTATTCTTTCTTTTGCACACTCATTGGTGGCTGACACGCTCAAGAGTATGGAAACTGAACCAGAGAAGTATGGATATAATAAGGATAGCCTGGTTGGTGACTCTGAGGTAGTCTTTTCCTTACGCCTTAAATGAAAAGAACTGAGGGGAAAGACATGGAGATGCAAAAAGATAAAAGGTGGTTAAGAGACTCAACATCACCCATGATGTGCTAGTATAGGTCAAATCCTCTAGAAAAGCAATAGACACACTGCTAGAAGTCCGTAGAGAAAATTCATCACAAAGGCGGAAGATTCCAATATGTGCTAATCCAAGAGTGTGTATAGAATGAGACATATCAATCAAAATACACACACTCCAAAATGAGTAATGGCCACAGAAAGCACACACATATTAACATGTAATGGATATTCTCATAAATACCAATATGTACCAAGTACTTCTCAAAAACTTCAAGCTTGCAAAACCATATTAAGAAAATCTTTTTAGATTTTTATTTATTTATTTATTTATTTTGAAAAAACAAAGCAAGACAGAAAAACGAACAAACACTCCTTCGGTTAAACGCTTAAAACTTTAAAGGCTCACATATAGTTTTGAAAACTTTCCAATGAAAAATAGTGAGACCTTCGATGAATTTTATGCGAAGTTGAGCAACATTGTAAATTCCAGCTTTAATTTAGGTGAAAAAAATACCGGAATCCAAGGTTGTGGGAAAATTTTTGAGATCCTTGCCCAATCAGTTCCAACCAAAAGTTATGGCTATTGAGGAGACTCAAGATGTTGACGACCTCCAGCTGGATCATTTGGTTGGAAATCTCCAAACTTATGAGGCACATAGAAATTTCAAAAAAAATAAAAATAAAAAGATGATATTGTTTTTAGTAGTGCTCATATAGTTGGAAATGATTCTGATGAGGATTGTAAGATTGATTCCAAGATTACAGATGCTTTCATAGAACAATTTTAAAGTCTTTTCTGAAAAAAAATTCTAATCTTTTGGAATCAATTCATAGCTTCAAAGGCAAAGATAAATTCAAAATTAATTTTATAACCCAGAAGAAGAAAAGAAAAATACAAGGGAACTCTGAAAGAATCCAATGCTATGAATGCCAAGGATTTGGCCACTTTGCTCAAGAATGCCCTATTCGTTTGAGGAAGAAGAAAGCTTTCGCTATCACTTGGGATGATGAATCTAAGTCTGATAAAGATAAAAGTGACAACGAAGTACAAGGCGAAGAGAGGCATGAACAATTCCTTACTTTCATGGCGGCTTCCGAAACTAAAGGGCAAATAGAGTATCCGAAAAGGTCGGTTGAGGTGACATTGATGATGAATTCTCAAGGAGTGATGATAAAGAGTTTCAGCAAGCTTATGAAAAGTTGTATATGAAATCTCTTAACTTATCCAAATTGAATGACAAACTCACTATGAAACTCAAAGCATGTGAAAGTGAGAATGTCAAACTAAAGGAGAAGATTTTTGAGGCTCTGATACTAATTGAAAAAACTAGAAATCCCTTAGATATTGATTTGTGATTATGTATCAATTTTATTAAGTAAATAGCAATCCCAATCAAACATTCAGAGACAAATCAACACTATGATTTAACGTGGAAATACCACTATTGGAGCGCCTCCAATTGTAATAAAAAACCATGGGCAAAAGCCACAAAATAATCCACTAAGAAGATATAAAGGAATTACACAAGTATATTCTTAATTACGTAGTGAATCCATGCCCGAATCGAATCGACTCCTATGTTTCTCTTCCAGCCTCGTTTTCACCTCGGAATTGTCTTGCCCAACGTTGAATCCACAACATTGATGTCGAATCATGACAATGAGACACTCCGAAATTTACCAAAGTTTCAAGCCCGAATTCTACGGAATCCACCGAAGAACAACACTCTCTTTTGTGTTGAATGAAACAAACAATCTTTTGATGTATACTTTTCAAACCAGATTCAAATTCAAACAAACATCAAATAAACTAGCAAAGAAACTCCAGATATAAACCTTAATATCCAAGAAGAAGATCGGGAAGCCGTAATCCTAAAAATGGATGAACCACATATTTATAGAAAACGAATCCGCGATCTCCGCTCCAGTGCAAGAGTGGCCGCTCGAGCACAAAAACACAACTTCTAGTACTTTTGCAGACAGTTCAAACTTCTGGAACTAAAGATTCTCTGCTTGAGCGCACAAATGGCCACTCGAGTGGACAAGCAACTTTGACTGCATTTTTTCTTTTTGCTTCGGGGCACTGCCCCTCGACCTCGCCTAGGCACTGCCCCTTGGACCCCTGCAAGCTGACGGGGCGGCTCGATCTTTGACATAGTCAGCGGAGTGGCAATTATGAAAGAATTAATTTCTGAAATATCTGTACAAGGCACAATTCGGGTTGCGTTCGCATATAAAAACTTATAGCCTCACTGAAATAAAAGTTGAACAAAATTACAATTGAAATGTGTTTTGTCAAACGAAATTACCAAGAATAAAAACTTAACAAGGACCTTGAATTTTTAATACGTATCAACTGATACGTTATGTACCGATCGTTTTTAAAACTATGCGAACGCGATAATAACACAAGTGATATTGAATAATTTTTTTAAATCATTTGTGTAATGTAGTGATTTCATTTGATGGTTTGATCTTAACATTGCAGGCAGAGAAAGCAACCATGCATGTGGGGAAATGGTCAGAGAGGACATGATGATAAAAGTTCAATGTTTAGAAAAATAAAAAAAAGTAAAAAAAACCTACACTAAAGTTTCTCATGCAGAAGGATTTGGGCCTGAAAATGATTTCTGATTTGTAACTTGCATATGATGCAAAATTATAAAGAATAAATATTTATTCATCGCAAAGGTGTTAGTGGGGGTAATTATTTAGTAATTTCAAAATATAGACACGTGATATTCTATAGTATTATGATTGATGAAGAAAGTGGGTAAGTAGGATATTGTGTTAGGTGATTGAGAAATATAAGAGACATAATGAATGATGATTGCTTTAATTCCATGTGTGTGGTTCGTTTGGTTTGGTTTAATTCTTGATTTAAAAATTCTAGAATTGAAGATATCGGTTTGGAACACGAGTTGGTAATTGAGTAGCTGCTTGAAACTGCGCATAAACTACCCTTTTGTCTATATTGTTTTAACAAATTTTATAGATTATATAATTTAACTAAAATGTTCTTCGATTATGTTTTATTAAAAATGATTGGTAACTCGAATTTGAATTTGTTTGAAAGCTTGAACTTGTGTTTGCCAGTCGATCGTCCAGACGATCACTCGGATGACCCGTGAAATACTTGTCTACTGTAGTTGTCACCCTTATTGATTATGACTTTCACCTTCTTGCCAGTCAATGTCCGAACAACCACCTGGACAATTGATGAAACACTTGTCTACTGCGATCTTCATCCTTGTCGACCGCAGCTTTCTTCTTCTTGCCGAACGACCGATCGGATGGTTGGCAAGCCGAAATTCGGGTTATTTTAGATAATCATTTTCGTCTTTCTAATTTCAATTTACTCGATTTTGATTCCGAATTTATAATTGTCTCAATTTGATCCAATTGATTAAAATTATTAGTATTTTTTATATATAAAAAAAAATTTTGCACATGAGCAACAATTGTCATTTTTTAGGGATAAAATTATAAAGTTGATCAATTTAGTGAGTTAATCTGATCAATAATATTTTTTTGTATCTTAATGACATTATCAATTGGATTAAATTGATAGAAAATGTAAATTAAGAATTCAAATTGAATCAATTAAAAATATAAAGACTAAAATAACACAAAAGATAAATAATAGGCACTATCATCGTCATTCAACCTAGAAGGTAAATGTGTTGGTGAACTGGGAGAAATGAGAAAATGGGCCAATCACTACAAGAATTTGGAGATTTAACGGCGTTTAATTAAAGGCGTTTGTTAAACGTCACTTTTTTTTCAAAATTAACGGCGTTTTTTAAACGTCGCAATTGTTATTAATTAAAACGGTACCGTTTGGTGACTAGGAGACGTTTGAAAAGCGCCTCCAAATCCTCTTCCCCTCAAACCCTATCCCGTCTCTCCAAACCTTTATTTTGAAAACCTATTTTGAGCACCGCCGTCTACATATGAAGTTCGAATCTCTCCCTCACTCTCTTTCTCTCAGGGGATCGAATCAATATGAAGCTGTTCTCTCTCGATTCGGTGATTCTTCTTTAGCTCGGTGATTCGTCTTGTTGAGCACAGAGCGATTGCGATTGCGAAGTTCGATTTTGAGCACCGTGATTTGGAACTCTTCTTCAGATCCGTGATCTTCGTCTTCTTCGATCAGAGGTTAGATATTTCTTCTGTGCTCTGTTTGGAACTCTTCGTCTTCTCAGATGTTTCTTCAGCTCCGTGAATCTCTTCTTCTGTGCTTTGTTTCCACTTTTTGCTGAAATCAGTATCTTCTTTGTTTCTAGTTTTGCTTATTGTTCTGCTCAAATCACTATTAGGTGATGATCGATGATTCATTTCAGTTTGTCTCTATTTGATTTTTTCTTTCTTTGCTTTTAAGATCTGCATATATACATGCAATTTAATTTGTCTATTTATGAATTATACGATGTATAAAATATGTGTTATTTTGTTATGATCAAAGCAATCACTTGATTTTCTTTTTGGTTGTCAAGTTTTACTTGTGAATTTTTTTTTTCTCCCTCTGCACAGTAATTACACAAACAGAAAATGGTATAAAAGTACATCAAAATTAATGGTAAGTAGTTCTACCTTCTTTTGATGCTTTATGTTTATGAATAAAATTAGAAGTTAAAAGAGAAAAACAAAAGAAAAGAGAGGAAAACAATACAAAGGTAAATTGAAATGTTTGTTTCTTAACAATTAAAGCCCTCATTCAGATCAGATGGTTCTTAAAGCTTTCACAAATTCCTGAAGTTACTGAGGTTCCAAGCTTCAGTGGGGAAGCACTGTCTTACTTGCAAGGATTGATTGATGGATTTACCATAAGCGATGCCTTGGAAGTTAAAAATATAGAGAAAGTGACAAACCATGATGTGAAAGCAGTGGAATACTTCTTGAAACAGAAATGCCAATCACATCCAGAGATTGCGAAGGTTTGAACTTGTCCTCCAGTTTCTTCGATACTAAAATGACCAGCTTTAGTACATTTATTTGACATAATTCAACTGCTAGTGTTGTGTTGTGATGCCTATCATGATGTTAATTTTGCTAATGCAAAATTTTTTAACAGTTAACCTGTTCTCTTTCAGTTGCTTAAGATAGTATAATGACTGCCTTAGTGTATTTGACATAATTGAATTGTTACTGTAGCCAGTCTTTAAGTTGCAGTGTCTTTCATTATTACTGTTGCTATTTGAAATATTTTGAGTAGCTAACCTTCTCTTCATTGTAGGTGCTTGAATTTTTTCATTTTGTCTGCACATCCGAGGACATTAACAATCTTGCCCATGCATTGATGCTGAAAGAAGCTTTGAACACTGTCATATTTCCAGTCATGGATGAGGTAATTAAGGCAGTTTGTGACATGGCTAAAGCTAATGCTCATGTTCCCATGTTTTCTCGCACTCATGGGCAGGTAGATGAATTTTTTATTTTAAAAAATAATAGATATATAGATGTTGCACTGCAATTCATGAGAGAGAGACTGCTCCATCTGATTAGTACCCTTCATACATTGGATCATCGAGAATATGCATAATCACTTAAAAATAACTAAACATGATGACTAAAAAGAAGAAGTGGAGTTGATGGAAAAATTACAACTGATTGGAGGAAAATGGTTTATTTACTTCAACTCAAATTGTTGGGGTATATGCTTTGTTGAGTAAAGTTGTATACTTAACCTGCCTGGCATATGGTGGCGCATGCAATTGTGTTTGAACAATGGTTTTAGAGCTAACAGAGTCATCAATAGATCACTCATTTAGTTTATTATTTTGTAGCCAGCTTCACCTACCACCCTTGGAAAGGAAATTGCAATTTTTGCTGTCAGATTAAGCAGGGAAAGGCTGGATATTTCTCAAGTTGATATGCTCTCTGTTCTTTGTTGACTTGTAGAGACCAACCATCCACTACCGCGGCTGCTCTATGTATCAAAGCTAGAGAAGTCGGTAGTCTTTATTATCTATTAGTTACTCATTAGTGGACTCTCTTTCCAATTTTTTACATCCAGTCCTTGCTCCTTATTGTTTTTAGCAAATGCTTTCATAATTTAACCATGTGTTGTAGGTTAGTTGCTGCTCCAGATTATCAATGTGATAATTTGAACCACTGCTCTAATAATATTTTTTACAAACAGAATGATTATTTAGGGATATTTTTTAATGAAATTTACAGAACATTTGAACCACTGCTCCAGATTTTGCTAGTTGTTAGAATTTTTCTCATCTAATTTTAGTGGTGGTGATACAATGAGACATGCTTTCTGTTTTGGAAGTGAATATTTATTTTTGTACGTTATGTGCAGCGTGACTTAACTGATTCAACAGTTCTGAGGAATATGGGTGAAGGTTTAGGGCATTCTCTTCTTGCGTACAAAAGTGCATTACAGGGAATATCAAAGCTGCAGGTAAAAAGTTAAATTGAAAAACATTGCTGCATAATTACTAACTACTTTTCACCTTGTCAACGGTAAAGGTGTAGTAGTAATTATCTGCTTATTATAGGTTGTTTTCTTATGAAAATATTATGTCACACATTATTACTCTGATATTATTAATATGATGAAATTAGCATTTGCTATTTGACTTTTATCAGGCTGCATTCTCCATTGCCCTTGCCATTGTTTACTTCCCTTTTATTATTTGACTTTTTTGTTGAACTAATTTTGCCATAGGTTAATGAAGCTTCTTTGTTTGAAGACTTGAATGAGTCATGGGAGGTGCTTGCGGAACCAATACAGATTGTATGTTCCTTTCTTCTAGTTTACATATCATATTCAATCTGAATTTTTTTTGGCCCTCTCTACAGATTTGAAGAATTAATATTGTGACTGCTAAAGAAAATCTTTTAATTGAATGCCATCAATAGCTCATATTGAATGCTAGTGACAGTGATTGACTGATTTTATTTTATCTTTCCTTCTCGACACTTGTTTGAATGAAATAAACCATTCTATGATTTTACTTCATAGGTTGATATTCATTCTTGGTAAAAACTATCAATTATGTACCCTCAGATTGCCTCTTTCTTATTTATTAGGGGGACAGTGGGTTGGGTTTGATTGCCTTTTTCTTATTTATTAGGGTTGAAATTTAAATTTGTGAAACCTAATTTGGTTCGAGATTGAGAATTTTTAAAAAAAAGCGCTCTAGAAGAGTTTTAATAGTTGTGGAGTTCGTATGTGATGTGATGTGTGTGTGTGTATTTTTTACATGAGGGAGTAGGTGCTGCTAACACAACTTGGGACTCTAGAGCTTCTCCAGAAGACATGGAAAAGATGTGGAATCATCCTATTGTTAGTAAAGAGTGGAGCAAATCTGGGGAGAAACAGGGAAAAAGTGCGATTTTCTCATGATGCCGAGAATAGACCTTATCTTTCTCGGGTAGAGTTAAGGGTAAGATTAAATAATATGGATTTGCAAAATATATATTTTCTTGCATGTATTTATCATAACTGGATATTTTGAATGCTTCCCCTGTTGCTATGTTCTTCTGCTACCCCCTCCCCCTTCATCTTCTTTGTTACTGGTCACCATTTTCCGCTTCATTGGTTATCTATAAGACAACTAAGAAAGCATAATTTATTTTCCATGACCAGTTGACAAACTTCACCCAATCTTTGAATAGTTACCATCAGCTACTGAATTAGGGCAGGTTTTGAACTTAATTTGAATAGTTATCTACTATTTGAATAGTTTTGAACATTTTCATAGATGTTTTAGTCAGCTTGTTGTTTTGCTTGGAATTGCAGGCCGGAAATGGTGGTAGGATGGTATCATTCACATCCTGGATTTGGCTGTTGGCTCTCTGGTGTGGACATCAATACTCAACAGGTTGTATTCTATCTTCTTTTGTTGTTGTTGATGGTAGTAGTGGTACAATTATGTAGTTGACAATGTCCAGTATAGAGGTTGGATATTGAGTCATGGTAGAGAACCCCCTCGCCCTCCAAAAAGGCAACCTAAACAATTAGGAGAATTGAGTATGAGGTGTCAAACATAAGGCTTATGTGCTTACACAACTTCTGGGGCTTGTGTTCGTGCATATGCAGATGCACATTTAGCTAATCACTTGTTTCTCTTGTGCAATTTGATTGGCGATTTTGGACAGGAGGGATTGTGGTTGGTGCAAGATTCAAATGTACTTTGCTTAGGCTATGATTACATTGATGTTAATGAATTTGGATTTCCTGATGTTTTACTTGTGGAACTAATTCAACTTGGAGAATGATGTTTGTTAGAAGGGGAACTTATAATTTCTATGAATTAATTCATGCAAATTCTATGCTTATGAAGTTTTGATGCTTCAATTAGACAAGAATTCTCAGAAATTTTTCATGCCCCCTCTCTCGCTTTGTCTACCTGTGTGTGTGTGTTTTGAATTGGGGTAATTTTGTTATCATTTATTTCTGTCAAGAGTCAAGACCACCTTAATTATTGACATTTTGTGATATCATGCAGAGTTTTGAAGCTTTGAATCAACGTGCTGTGGCAGTTGTGGTGGATCCCATACAAAGTGTTAAGGGGAAGGTGGTCATTGATGCCTTCCGCTTAATTAACCCACAAACCATGATGCTTGGCCAAGAGCCAAGGCAAACAACGTCCAACCTTGGACATTTGAACAAGCCATCCATTCAAGTGAGTGCTGAATGAGTGGTGCCTTTGTGTTTCTGATAGCTGAGGTGTCACCCCTGAGTTTTATCCTCTAATGGCAATTTGTTTTGCAGGCATTGATCCATGGGCTGAATAGGCATTATTACTCAATAGCCATTAATTACAGGAAGAATGAACTTGAGGAGAAAATGCTACTGAACCTGCACAAGAAGAAGTGGACTGATGGCTTGACACTGCAACGATTTGATACCCATTCCAAGACCAATGAGCAGACTGTTCAGGTAAGTGAAGCTTTTTGCGAGGCTATGAGTTTCATAGTCTTGTGTGTGTGTTGTATTTGGCACCTTTGCATTAAGGTGCAGAGGCTACACATTTTTTGTTTTTTTAACCTCAATTTTGAAAGATTTTACATTTCCCTTCAATTTTCTAGTGTCATGTTTCTTATTGGTTATATTATACATGATATTGGTGGCTAGTCCGAATTGTTTACACCTGTTGGTTATATCCTCTGTTAATGGTGCTCAGTGCAGTTTATGGCTGTAGAAAATTCTTTATCTTCAGTCAAAATGCTGCTTATCAAATCCCAGCAGTATTACAAAGTGTTCCTAGTTAAGTACCATAATTAGTACCATATGATTTAGCTCAGTAGTTTAGAAGTGCATACTGAGACTATACTTGTGTACGTGTATTTCTGATCACTTTGCTATAATAATATTCAGTTCTGTCAATCATTCAGTGCATAGAAACTGATATGTAGACAATTGGCCTCATTTGGATCCTTTTTTCTAAATGAATAATTTTGACCTTTTCATCATTAACAGGAAGAGGCTACCAAAAGCAAGTCTGCAGGAAAGGCATAGTACCAGACTATGATCTCCGACAGCGATTACACCGAGTTTGAAAACTTCTCAAAGTGGTTGGGAGTCTCCCAGTGAGATTTTTCTGTCTTTGAGTTTTGTCTTGGTATAATATCTTTATCTAATTGTTTTGTTTCAAGAGGAGTTAATTTACTTTTTGTGGCAGTTTTGAGACAAGATTTGAGTTTGGTGGGTTATGTTTTATGACAAGATGGATGGATTTTCATTTTAGCAGATCTGGAATCAAAATTTTACAAATTGTAGTCTCTTACTTAAACACGGTTTGTTAAGTTTTTTTTGAATGAGAAATTGAATTAATGCTTCATTTGTTATTTGAATGAGAGTTATTATTTTAAATGTTAGTTTTATTACAGATATTTGAATGGGAGTTAATATTTTGTATGTTAGTTTTATTATAGGTATTTTTTTATTAATTGAATGAGAAACTAAATTTAATATTTTTTACAGGTATTCTTTTTAATTTAATCAAATAAAATTAGCATAATATACCCAAAAAAAAAAAAAAAAAAATTAGCATAATATACCCAAAAAAAAAAAAAAAAAGAAAGATATGACGGCGTTTCTACAAACGCCTCTTAATCCCTCAACAGTAACGGTAATATTTTTAAGACAGATACGACGGCGTTTCAAAAACGTCGCTAAATATTGTTGGTGATGTCAGCGTGTGTGTGGTGGGACATTTGGCGGCGTTTTAAAAAACGCTGCCTGTACTAATATCACGACGTTTTTAAAGCGTCGCAAAGCTACAGCGACGGCCGCAGCTTCGACGTTTGGTACTAAACGCCACAAAAGGAATTAGGGGCGTTTTTGATACATATGGCGGCGTTTTTTAAACGCCGCTAAAAGTGCGATTTCCAGCAGTGAATCCATTCACAATCCGATAGCTCTAAAGCCCATTCGGATCCAATTTGCCCTTGGATTCCTTCTCATTTTTTTAAAGGCCCATGAACTTCTTCTCTGATAAGTGGCCTAAATATTGAACAAATTCATTGTTGCAACGGATAATATTTATTCAGCAATATTCTGTACTTTGTAAAATATATAAAATTTATAATTTATGGATCGTATTTATTTTTGTGTATCCATACTATCAACTTAGAAAATTATTTAAAATTAAAAAATATGTGTATCAAATTCGTTTTAAATGTGAATCACAACACAATAATTTTAAATCCACACAAATTTTAAAATTTAAGTATTTTTAGTATTTTTTTCCAATATTTGTTTGACAAATAATCCTACAAATCAGAACAAAGTGGTTACAGATCTCGTCCCAAAGACATATAAAATATTTTTGGCGATTTCAAATTAACTATTTGAGTGGGTTAGAACGATTTGAAATACAAAATAAAAAAGAAAATCAGTGAACATATAACCTTAATTCTTTTATAATTTCAAATAAAAAATTTATTATTTTTTATAAAATTTTTACACAAAATTTACACATTAGTTGAATGTATGATGCTTTTCAAAATGGTATTTTACAAATTAATACAAAAAAATAAATTAGAAAAAAACTAAGCAATGAAAGTACAGTTGAGTAAATATGCTACTAATAATTGCATTATTATATTATTATATCTTATTTTTATGTTATTAGAAGTGTGAGGACCATAGGGCGGTCGAGCCTAGCGTGCATTAGGAAAGTAATCCAATCCAAGTAGACTTAGGACTTGACAATTCCAGCTGAGTTTCCAAAATCAAAAAATGAGAGTTTTTCCCCTTTCCAAATTCAATTCCAGCTGAGTTTCCAAAAACAAAAAACTTGACAGTTTTTTCCCTTTCCAAATTCAATTCCTTTCCTCTATAAATAAAAGACCCATTCCTCTCTCTGGCCTCACATTTCTTTTCTTTTTAAGTCATTCTATTGCTATTGAATCCGTGGAGTTTTTAATGGCAATGGGTGTACGAGGAAACATGAGCAGATACGAGTGCTTCTATATGGCCAAACTTGCCCAGCAAGCCAACCGCTACAAAGATACCGTCAACTTCATGGAAAAGCTCATCATCGGTTCTACCTCCTCCTCCTCCTCCGGCAGCGAACTCACAATCGAGGAGCGTAATCTCCTCTCCACCGCCACCAAGAAAGTGATGGACTCACTCCGTGCCGCCTGGCGGGCCCTCTCTTCAACTGAACAGAACCACAACAATCATGTCGCACTCGTCACCGACTACAAATCCAAGATCGAATCAGAACTCTCTCATATCTGCAATAGGGTTTTGAATCTGCTGGAAAAGCATTCTACTTGAAAATGAAGGGGGATTATTATCGATACATAACGGAATTCAAAGTCAGAACAAAGAGAACAGAGGCTGCTAAGAACACCATGATGGCATACAAGGCTGGGTCTGGCACTCAATTCCGGTTTTTGAACTTACTCCAACCCTTCCCACGAGGCTGGGTCTGGCACTCAATTTCTCTGTTTTTTGCTACGAAATTGAAGGTGCATCAAAGAAAGCGTGTAGCATGGGGAGGGAGGCCTATAAGGAAGCCATGGTTAAGCTTGATAGTTTGGGAAACAAGTCATACAAGGAAACTAGTCTCCTCATCTTGCAACTAATGAGGGACAATCTCAATCTTTGGGCTTCTGATATGGAAATCACTTCATATTCTTGTTAGTCAGGCCTAGCTTTGGTTATTCTCTAGGATTTATTATAGTTATTTGTGGGTAGAGAAGCTTTCATTGTTTTCCTTTTTGTTTTAAAGGTCCAGAGTCTTGGTTGTTTTGTTTTGTTTTGTTCTTAGAAATTGGTGCAGAGATGGTTATCTGTATATAGATACTCATGTTTGTTCAACTTTTCCGTACCGCAAATATATGAATGTGAAATTTGGCCCGCACGTAATGGAACCGTTTCTTTTTAATTTTGGTGCACAAATAGCGCACTGCAAGAACAAAATTAATTCAAAAGTCTTAAATTTAATGATCAAACAAAATTTTAATGGTCTCTTATGGTGTCCGATCCACCCTGCTATTAGTTTGATTTATAATTTGAAACTTATAATTCGTATTTGAGAAAGAAAAGACAATAAAAAAAGTGATAGTGGAAATAAAAATGAAAATTTTTATTCATGCATAAAAATTTATATACAAAAAATATCATAAAAATATTGTGACAGTGATATTATTGTAAATATAAATCATGTTTATGTATTTTGTTTTAAAGTGAAAGGTCATCATGAAACTATATCATTGTGTTTGAAAATTTTATATAAATTTTATATTTGTATATCATCACAAAATGAAAATATGTTCACGCAGAATTTAATGATAGAAAGTTGCAGAATTTTGTCATGATGATAGGAAAAAGAAATGATAGGAAAAAGAACAGAATAATCATTTAGAAAATTTTAGGGCATGACATCAGTAATCCATGGGGCAATTTGTAATAAGATTACAAACCTCAGGGAGAGAAATGCAATTTTTCAAACGTGAGGAGGGAATCTGTATTAAATAGAAATCTCAGGGGTATCAATGTAATTTACCCTAAAATTTAATATACAAAAAAATAAAAAATAATCTAAATTAGCGCATATCAAGGGATCTATAAGGGTAAAATTATCTAATAGAAGACCTTAATATAGAAATTAATATTTGATAAAGGGTTATGTCTTATCAATTTAATTTTAGGAAAATTGGTAAAAATTCCACTATAGTAATTGTCTAAGGCATTAAGTCCAATGATTTTTTATTGTTGATGAGAGATCTACACTTTGTAAAATAATTTGATAAAAAGTCCTAGAAGACTTTTTTTTTTTTAATTTTCCCCTTGACTTTTTATTTATCTGTTTGACTTTGCATTGACCATTTGTTCAAATTTTTATTTATCTGTTCAATTTGTTTGTCTATCTATTGAAATTTATCTATCTGTTTAAAATTTTTGTATATCTGTTCAATTTTTTGTCTATCTGTTCATTTTTTCTATGTAAATTTTCTATTTGTCCGAATTTTACCTATCCAATTTTTTATCTGTTCAATATTTTTATCTATACAAATTTTCTAACCAAATTTTATGTGTACAAATTTTGATCTGTACAAATTTTGTAGAGTAGTCAAACATTTGTTAAAATTTTGACCTTATTTTTTTAGCTGTTGAATTTGTTGACCTATCTGTTCAATTTTTATATCTAATTTGTTGAACCTACTTTCTCTCAATGTGTGAAACCAAACATATGAATCTGTTGAACCTATATATCTACAATCTGTTTCATCAACATCAATATCAACATCAACATCAACAACAACAACAACACAACAACAATAAATAATAATAAAAAAAAATGCACAGCAAATGTATCCAGATTTGGATTGAACAATTTCAAATCCAAAGCACCAATAAATAAATAAATATACAAACAAATCAAATGTTTATATACACAATGTTATATATATATATATATATATATATATATATATATAAATGAACTTCTATTCTACAATGAAGAAAAAAACGAATTAGAATAGTAAGCTTTAATGTTGCTTTTGAGTTCTTATGTATAAATTGAACCAAGCCTCATCTACCTCCACTGTAACTGTGACCCTTGTTTTAACATCGACCATCACCCTATCTTTATCCAATGCCAATCACTATCTCTCACTAAAACTTACCAACTCGAACAACAACAACAACAGATTCAAGATTGAAGATCGAGGCAGGGACCGGATCGAAGATCATAGATTTGTTTTAGATTTGAGATCATCGGCGGTTGAGACACTCATGATGGTATTGAGAGAGCGGGAAGGATGGTGGTGGTAGTGTCAGAGATGAAAAGAAAGAGAGAGAAAAGAGAAGATAGCTGCGATTGAGACGATGACGATAGTGTTGGGAGTGGTGTTAGAAACGGTGGCGTCGAGATAGTGGTGGTGGTGTTGGAGATGAAGAGAGAGAGAGAGAGAGAGAGAGGGTTTGATTTTCTAAAAAGAGAGAAAAAAGAGAGAAGTAAGATTTGATTTTCTTTTTCCACCGTATAACCTAAATATATATACATGGATAATTTGCTTATTTTATAGAAGCTTGTCCTTATAGACAAAGACTTGTTTTGGCAAGTATGTAAAAGGTCACTTTTTGGTTTTTAACATATTTTAGGTCACATTACCTCTCTATTTTTTTTACATATTTTTTTCAAAAAAAGCTAAAAAAAGGCCAAAAAACTAGCTTTTAGAGTGTGGACTTTTAGACAAAGAAAACTCAAAATTAGATTTATAAACCGAGTGCGCTTTAATTTTTTATAAAAATATTCTACATAATATTTTTTTAAAAATGAATAATTTAAATTATTAAAAAAATATGAAGAGCGCCTCAAAATGCGCTTAATATGCATAGTGACTCCAAATCATGGATAAAAAAAAAAAAATTGTCTCCTAATTTTTTATAGTGACGATGATTGAAGAATAAAAAATAATTACTCTTTCTTATTTCATGTGTCTACTTCTGTACATGATATACATAATATTTATAATTCTCCATGGATTAAACCACTATGAATAATTTTGGTTGTATTTTAAAATTATATGTATTCGTTTGAATCTAAATAGAGCAAAGCGAATGCATTTTTAAAATAGAGATTTGTGTTGCATCTCAAAAATTCGTAAGTTATCTCACACATTTTTTTTTTTAAAATTATGTTTTATGATCTATAATATTTTACATGATACTTTAATAACTAAGGCAAGATGTCAAAATTCTAAACAAGAACCACTTTCGGTGGTTTGGTGGTTTTATTTTTTAAATCTATTTTTCAATTTTTGATATATATATATATATATATATATTTCTCAATTTTAGTGATTAAAGATAAAAAAATTTCTTCATATTGTATATTTAAATTATACTTTTACATGATAATCTAATATCTACTGATCTAAATAGAATTAAAATAGTAAAATATTGGTAAAAAAAATTATAAATTCAAACATGTACTATTTTTTGTTATATATTATTATTATTATTAGGGTAAATTATAATTTAACCCCATGTGGTTTGCCTCAAAAACATGGAGCCCCCCTATAGTTTTATTTGTAACACTTACACTGTGTTTGGATTGAGTGATTTGGAGAGAAAAGAAAAGAAATAGAGAGAAATGTATTTCTCTTCCTTGTTTGGTTATCTTAAGTGGAGAGAAATGGGAAGAAATAGAGAGAAATGGAGAGAAACTCATTTCTCTCATAACCCTTATTTTCAATCTTCCCAAAAGTGGAGAGATTGGGAGAGAAAAGAAATCCACAAATGTTTATATTTTTATAATACCAATTTTACCCCTATAAAAATAAAAGAAATAAAATGATTGAAAATATAAAAAGGTTATTTTGGTAATATAACATAAAATAATTTCTTTTCTTTTCTCTTAATGAAATCTAACCAAACAAGAAGGAGAGAAATCACAATCATTTCTTTTCTTTTATTTCTTACTTATCCAAACAAAAAGGAGAGAAATTACAATCATTTCTTTTCTTTTCTTTTCTCTTATTACTTAAGTAATCATTTCTTTTCTTTTCTCTTCTAAGTTACCAAACATAGCGTTAAACCCCCTATACTTCATACCAGAGTGCAATATTCAACGGACGTAACAAAAATTGTAAAAAGTCATAAATGCCCCTAGATATTTTACATCCCTCCGTCGTTTCATTTTAGTTGACTAACACCAGTATTCGCATCTCTCTCTTTCTCTCTCTTTATATTTATGTTCTCTCTCACCGTGGTTGATTGGATTGAACTAGGGTTTCTTCATCAATTTCACTATCATATTGTGAACGCCATTACTAGTTTAGGTATGTGTTGTTTACCCTAATTTATTTTGATTGTTAGATGTTGATTTTTCCTAATTTTGATTCATAACTGAGTGCGTGTTGACTTCGATTTATAAAATTTGTAATGTTTTAGGCATGGTATGCCCGTATTGCTTTAATTTTGGGGATTATGGCACTACAAGAAAATCAAGCTATAGTAGCGTTTTTTATAACAGCGCCTCAAAAAATGCAGCTATAAAGTGGTTATTGTGATGGGCTTTAACCGCAATTAAAACTTAAGTTTTTAGTCGCATTTATTTTCTAAACTGCTGCTATACATATTTTTTTAGTTACGTTTACAACTCAACCGCTACAATAGGTCAAACAAATATGGAGCCAAAAAATTTCTAATTTAGCGCTCAGAATTTCAGTCCCAAAAAAAAGGGTTCAACTCTAAGTCGATCTATCTATACTTCTTGTGCCCTAGTCTGTTTATACTTTCACGAAGTAGCGCCAAGAAGTCACAGAGGCTTCTTGATTTCACAAGCTACAGCCCACCGGTGTATCGACGGTTCATCCTCCATCGGTGTATCGACTGATGCATCAACGGTTCCTGATTTCAGGTCAGTTTGCTCTCTCTCTCTCTCTCTCCAAACACTCTCATAATGTACCGACATACCAACCAAATCCATAAATGAATAATCTATATATGTCATCCTCTATCAGTGTTTCTCATGTATGCTTCAAAATAAACCCAACCCAGAATTCATACAACTCCCAATCTTTCAGGGACCATAAAAACCCTAAATTTTTGCTATGATTTCATGTTAAAATCTTGGATTTTCTTTGGTTTTTGTGTTCCTTTTACCATAATCAATGGCTTCTAAACCAGTTCCAAAAATTTTAATCATCTTCACGTTGACCTGTACACTAACAAGCACATATTCTCTTCCTTTTGTCGTCTTTCATGGTAATTTTCTCATCATTCTATATGATCTCCTTGATTTTTCATGCCCACAATATGCTCTGTTTACTTTAATTAACAATTCATTATTGAGAATTGAAATGTGAAGATCACAGTGTGATGATTTAGTTTTATTGTTACTAAGTTGGTGTTGGACTGTTAGAATTAGGTTGGTTTAGATGTGGGTTTGTTGGATTTTGTATATTAGTTGCTCTGTTATCAGAATCTTACGATTCACGATTCGATTCGCAATTTTTGAAAAATCGATACGAATCTATGGGTGAATCTATTTTGGAAGTGAATCTCTAGTGAATCGCACGATTCATAATCGATTCACGATTCGATTCACTTTTTACGATTCATGCAATTTTTGAAATTATTGTATACGACATATTTTCGACTCTTTTTTTTCTCCATCTTTTTAGTGAAAATGGCATAATACAACTTTTAATAGCGTTTAATACCAAAATAACCAACATATATACATGATTTATTGTTATTTTAGTGATCATGGAGTTTTTAATAAGATCCAGTTAGATTCAATCAGACCCAACATATTTTTAACCTTTCTTCTCATTTTTTTTCTTTTTAAAAAATCATAATATATCTTCTAAAGATGTTTAAGATTAAAGTCATACCTATTTTTAAGATCCAGTTAGATTCAATCAGACCCAACATATTTTTAACCTTTCTTCCCATTTTTTTTCTTTTTAAAAAATCATAATATATCTTCTAAAGATGTTTAAGATTAAAGTCATACTATGAATTATCTATTACTATTTTATTAAATTGAATATTACATGTGTGAGGTCAGTTATACTTTTTAAAATGTTTTAGGCTTTAAAATAAAAGATTCTAAATAATTCCTTCTTATTATTTGCTCACTGTTACTTAGAAAAGTATATATGCTTATTGTCAAAATATCAACATTGTTGTTAATTATTGTTACTTTGGAAATTGATAGTTTGTCTATTTGGTTACTATCTTTATTAAAAATGGCTGATAAGAAATATCTAAAAAAGAAAAAAGGCAAGATGGTGATATTACATCTTTATTAAAAATGGTTGATAAGAAATATCTAAAAAAGAAAAAAGATAATATGGTGATCTTACATAGGAACCTTTGTTAACTTCTTACCTATTAAACTACGTGATTATTATTCAAAATAACATTTTTATTGATTTAAGTCTAAATATTTTATATTCATAAGATATATTTAACATCTAAATGTATGGATATATGTTTTTAAGTAATTTAAAAAAAGTGACCGAATCTTTACGATTCACGATTCGATTCGATTCGCGATTCGGTACAAGACCATTTCGATTCACGATACGAATCCCGATTTGACAACTATGATTAGTTGTTAAAACTTCCTTTTAGGATCATTAGCATTAATACAAACACAGAATTGTTTTCAAGCCACTATTATGATTTATATGGTTGTGTTTCGTGTTTTGTGTGGTGATTTCTGTTACTATAATTAACAATTCAGTATTGGGAATTGGAATGTGAAGATCATGGTGTGATGATTAAGTGTTATTGTTACTAAGTTGCTATTGGAATGTTACAATTTGGTTGGTTTAAATGTGGATTTTTGAATTTTTGTATTTTAGTTGTTGATGCTACACACATTCATGTGTCCTGTATGTGTTTGATAAAATGCCACAACAAGATTTTTCTTTATTGTTATATTTCATTTTGTTTTAGTTTATTTATTTATTTATTTTTGAGAAAATTGATGTTCATTATTTTAATGCTTGTACACTTGTATAGTTTTCTTGGCCTAATAATGTGATTAGAGAAAATTCAACACTGAATTATGCCCCTTTTTTGTTGAATCCAAATACACAACTAACGAAGAACTTTGAAACATTCCACCATTTTTACTAGTTTAGCAACCATCATACAAACCCAAAATGACTTTACTTTCATTGGTTAGATGCACAACAAAGTGGTTCTAGGTAGCCAAATAACATAGTTAAGGTCACACTTGTCTTAGGGAAGATCCAGCAAAAATGACTTTAATTTCATTGGTTAGATGTGAAAAAGTCCAGCTTAACCTCCAATTGGATTTCATTCTAAGCCTTTTGTTTTCCATAGAGAGAGGTGAGTTTTAGACCTTTTTTCCTTCCATAATATACAGCTTCTAGAAACAAAATTGCATGCTTTGTGAAGTCTCACTCTATTCTATGGTTGAGTTTTTAAACTAGGAAGTACTAAAAAAACGTATTGATTTATTTGATCATTACTTCTCATGTCCTGGTTGCAACCAAAAAACAGGCTGCAGCCCCCAAACCCAATAGCAGCCACCAAAAAATAGGAAAATAAAACAGAGCTGCCACCATCATAGGTCAATTGGAGATCAGGCTGCAGCCCCAAAATCCAGAATAGAACACACTCAGAGCTCCACATTTCCACCTAAACACCTTCTGATCTGGCTAAGGAGGAGAAGATGAAGGGAAAAAACAAAGAGGTGGTGACTAGGGAGTACACCATCAACCTCCACAAGCACTTACACAGCTGGTACTAACCTATCTACCTATATATGCATTATAGCTTATTGATTATATCAATTAATATATGAATTTTGGTTCTTGGTCGTGTTGAATCAATTGTTAATGTGAAATTACAACATTATCAACTTGAGTTTATGTGAAATTATTAATGCTGTCTCATAGGGAACACTGCCATTTTGGAATTTGGATTTTTTTGACTTTGCAAAGATCAAATGGAACCCTTGTTGGTTTAGTTTACCCAAAATTTCCACACTCTCACACAATATATATATATATATATATAGAGAGAGAGAGAGAGATAGAGAGGCATGAATTTGATTGCTCCATATTGTAATCTCTGATATATCCTAGTTTGTGTCAAATTTGTGCATATGTGCATAACAAGGTCACATGCTAGCCTAGTTTTTCAACCTTTATTTTGTACTCTATGTTACACCTTTTCCCCATTTTTTTTAATGTATTTATTATTCTTTTACACTTTGTTGCTTTGTAACATAGAGACGTTGAATTTGAAAAGTGCAAATGAATATAAATACTTGAGGCAAAGCAATTGCTATTCAATTTCTAGGGTTGATGATGCTATACAGTTTCGCATTGTAATGGTATTTTCTTCTTGCCCTTGTTCTTATTATTATGAGCACAGTTATAACCATCAATGAACTGTTGAATTTGAATGAACAATCCTATTTATTGCAGTTTGGACATACGAATCCATACTAGCCCTCCTTGAGCCTGTTGGTCTTGAGTATGACCCCATGCACCTCAGTTCAAGGGTTCAAATGCTAGTGATGGATTGCTAAAATTGGACATGGCAATCCTTGTTGCAGTGAAGAGGTTTTGAAACCCCTTTAAAAAAATTACATTGCTGATGGTACTTCATGAATGCCATCAGCTGTTCTTATAATCAAATCAAAAATTTAGAAAACAAGCTCATAGGATTTTGGAAGAGGGAGAAGAACTATTAATAGATTAGATTGATTGTTGATATTTGCTGATATCTACTTGTTTCTCTCACTTCAATCCATTGTCTTGATGATAGCATGGGTGGATTAATAAATTCTTCCCATACTTTCCTTTGTCTTTAAGCAATAAGTTTTATACATAGGTGGATTAAAATTGTTCCCATTTTGAACCAACATAAATTTGGTGAATTTTATATGATAAATCAATAAATGGTGGGTTAAAGATCAGTTTTCTAGGAGAATGGCTTTAAGCCAAACCTTGATTGTACTATTGTGGGTTAAAGATTTGGGCATTGATATTGTTTGAATTTTATGCATATTTTCTAAAAATGATAAATGAAAGCTCAATTTTCCATCTTTCCGCTATCTATGCTCCCTTGAATCTCAGGAATCTCTTGACAACGTGCTAGTTGAACTCTACAAGGTACACACATTTCTTCAAATCTGACCTTCTCTATCACCATAGATATAGCTGTTGATCTGACACGAATTTTGTTGGCAATAATTAGGAGAATTTGGAAATGCAACTTTTGTGTATGGATGACTGGTGTGATTTTCATAGCATTTGGAAAGAATGCCTTTTTGGTTTTCGTGGCATTTGAAATAAGTTGTGTTTGGATTTAATGGATAGGAAATTAAATGATTTGGCACTCTTAATTCAAGGAACTAGTTCAAATTTAGATTTCATAGTTTACAAATGGATTTCAAGCCTTTTTTTGAGATCTTTGTCGTGATGAATTTAAAATAACGTTTTAGTAGCTTCTTGAATCTTCATGGTAAGGGTTTTAGTTCTACAATTATCCTAATAAAAGAACCTTTTTTCCCCCCTCTGTTTTCTCTTTCCCATTTAGCCTAATAGTTATAGTTTGACACTATGTTACATGGACTCTTCAAATTAAATCAAATACCCGTGTCGGACACCCGACACTCGGACAAGGGTATGGGATATGTGTCGGATACTTTTCAACGGATACTTCTTATATAATTGTATATAACACTATTATTATATGTATATATTGTTATATAATTGCTATAAATGTCATTTTGACACTATAAGTTACATATAATACCATTTTATCTCACATATTAGATTAAAAATATAAAAATATGACATTTTTTTGCAGAGTCCGCGTATCCTTAAATTTATGATTTGATGAGTCCGACCTCTAGATACATACCCGCACCCGACACCCGTATCCGAGTCCATGTAACATAGGTTTGACATCTTGAATACTCTCTTTAATTACTTGGTGACCAAGACAAATCTTTGAGTATACATCTTCATTTTATTGCAGAGATCTGGTAGAATTGAAGAACAGATTGAAATGCCTCAACATTAAAGTGAAGACTATTCTTAGAAGAACAGGTTATTGGGGAACTTGGCCTGGGCATACTTACAGCAAAATAATGTTTTGGATTTCAATGACTTCAATCCTTCCACTCTTGAAAATGTTCATGAGTTCCTTGGACAAAAAGTCTCTTTGCAGCTCATTAGTTTAGTCAATGCGGACCCTACTGGTGAGTTCTCATTCTGATCAATTATTTTACGTGCACATAATCCGATCACATAATCAAACAAAACTTCTTTCATATGGAGGTGGGACTCACACATTTAATGGTCACATCTCCTATGAAAAAGTTGTGTCAAATTCTGTGATAAAATTGTGTGGACTTAGAATTATTCTATAAATTTCAAAAAATGTTCAATTTTAAAAAGTTGTGTCCAATTTTGTGATAAATTGTGTGGCCATAACTACATTGAATATTTTTTGGGGGTAAGTAGAATTGTTGATGCTGGTATGATGCTCTCAACAATGGGTCAATGACCAAACCTTCCTGTCAAAAAAGTAACTATTTATTCACCACTATTATTTTGGCCCTAGAAAGAAACAATTATTGTATTTGGCCATTTCCTTTTCTTTTATAGATCATCTGTTACCGATAAAATAAAAATAAAAATAAAAATATTTATTAAAAAAAGTAATAAATAAAGCGATCATATTAACTGTTATCTTGATTACCATTAATGCTATATGAACATAACAATAGGAAAAATTTAAATTTAATAAATCAATGAATCAAACATAACTCATTAAATGCATGAATCTCATTTATTTGACAGAATTTTTGTAATTAAATAATAAATGGTGATGATAGAATGGAGCAAACCTTACCTAACCATTATTGTATAATAAAATTTTCACCTATTCTGAAATAAATAACAAAATAAGTTGAAACATGTTAATATATTGGTGAGTGTTTTCGTTTTATTAATTTCTTATTTATTAATACATTTGTATGATTTTTTTTTTTCCGTTGGCTTGCTTGTTTTTAACCTAAAAATGACGACTTAATACTATATTTTTTATGCACAATTTTAAATTACAGGTGATATAAGCAAAGAGGTAAACAGAGTCAGAGCAGCCTAAGAGAACCAAATCTTGTGCGTGTAACAAAGAGGTAAACAAAACTTTAGGTGATATAAGTAAAGAGGTAAACTGAGTCAGAGTAGCCAAGTATAGGTGATATAAGCAAAAAAATGTGATAAAAAAATATAAAAATAAATGGATGAAGAAGTGACTTAATATTGTGCGTGTAACATTGGATTACAAGAACTAAATCTTTTTGCGATAACTTTAGCTGTTTCGTCCAATCTGATAGAGTCAGAGTAGCCTAAGAGAACCAAATCTTGTGATGAGTAGATATTTGCAAATCTGGTTTTGCAAGCACATGGGGCTTCTTTTCTTCTTTTCCAATTTAATCTGCGTACTTCAAATATATTTTGTGGACTAGTTTCTAGTGTTGTGATTTTCTTTTTGTGTTCATTTCCCCCAAATTCTTTACATAGTTCTCAATTCTGAGTTGCATTTCAGAAAGTAGTCTTAAAGATTTAATTATTTGGTTTTGTGGTTAATTGATTGTTATTTGTCAATTGATTAGGCTTGTTAGCTTGCTTATGTTATTACTTTCGCTATTAGATCTTTGAATGGGTTGGATTGGGTGGCTTAGTTCTTTCTACAACTATCCAAACTAAACAAAACCAGAGCCTAATGGGCTTCCAAGAATAATTCCCTCTTATTGGGGGTTAAACTGAATCTACCTTCTTAATGTGATTAATGATTACTCTCAAGAATGATAATACATACAAATTAGAAAAAGGAGTTGGTTCAGCTCAAATTTAATAAATCTGCTTGCCTAGGCCAAATCAACGCATATCAACTTTAACCCTTATAAAGAATTTTGATCTTGTTTGTTGAATTATGTCAAGTTTAATTGTTATGTCCTTTATGAATTTCACTTAAAATGAAAAAAAAAGAAGAAAGAATCTGAATGGTCATACATTCAGAGTATGGTTTTGTAATGCATTTATATGACCAGAAAAAAAAAATGATATAGTTGAATTTTATACACTGTTTGATCTGTGTTCTGGGTGCTTGAGAGTTGTTTGTGATTTGATGTATAATTTATATATATACAATGACATTGCATTCATAGAGGTTACTAGTAAATTTGAGCATCTGCTGTCTCATTGTGCATGCAAGCAAGTGTGGCGGATTATTCTTTTATCAGTTTCCTTTCTAAATTGTTAACTGATTAATTATTCAACCTTTCTGCATGAGCATAGATAATACTATAGAGTTGTAATGATTGGAAACCCTCTTGTACTTTTAGAGGTAGTAATATTTATGACCAGAAACACAAAATGCTTGTGTGTGTGTATTATCATTTATGAATAATTTTATAAGTCTCTTAAGCTTTCAATTTACTTTATTCACTTGTGGGAACAAGGTGGTCTTGCACATTGATTTTTATTTTTTGTGGAGAAATTATAAGAAACTATTTTCTCTTTCTGTGTACTTTCCTACATTTTGATACAAACATTATTTCCACTTTAATTTTTTTTTTGGTTGCTTATTTGCAGCAACTACCTGTTTAAGCTTTTGCTCATTGGAGATTCAGGTGTTAGCAAATCATGTCTCCTTTTGAGGTTTGCTGTAAGTTCTCCCTCTTTTACACAGCTTCTTCTTCTTTTCCCCCTCTATTTCTATTCCTTCTTTCTTTTTCAAGATTGCTTTAATTAGCCATGTTGTTTTGATGTGATTGTGTTATTTTTCAATGTTTTCTTGTCTCCAGACAAATGTGGCCTCCAGACAGATGCCAAGTTCATTAACCATTTTTATTATTTCTTGTTGAAAATCAAGCCACATCAGATGCCATATGCATCAAGCCCTTGATTACCTTAACATAGATTGTAAAGTTGTAAATTATTCTTATGTTCTCTTCTACAGAAAATCCGCACAGTTGAGCAGGATAGGAAAACCATTAAACTTCAGATTGTATGTTTTAAGTGCGTTATTAGTTTGTTCTGTCTATGAAAGCTGTAAATTTCAGTTTCAGCTTTGATTTAGTGTTTGATTGGGAATCTGTGTAAATAAGGAATGCCATATAAGCATTTCATTGCCGTAGGATGGAAATTTTGCATAAAAGTATGCTTAAATTCAGTAAAAATTTGAAGGATAGCTTTATTCGAAATGAAATCCAGAGAATTCACACTCTTGAGATTATATGTTAATTATATGAAAATTTTGTTTTTAGTCAAAATTTATTGTGATGTTTTCTTCAACATGGTGTCCCCTGTTTTTCTATAAACTATTTTCTTGCTAACAACTCTCATCTTTCTTCTTTTCTCTGGACATGCAGTGGGATACTGCTGGAAAAGAACATTTTAGGACAATCAGTAGCAGTTACTATCGCGGTGCACATGGCATTATTGAAAGCATTGAATTGTCTTCTTGTTGAGTTTGCTTTTTAATGTATGGATTTAGTCTTATTCTAGTGGTTTTGTTGTCAGGTTGTTTACGATATGACTAATCAAGGGAGTTTTAACAATGTCAAGCAATGGTTAAGCGAAATTGACCGGTATGCAAGTGAGAATGTAAACAAGCTTCTAGTTGGAAACAAGCGTGACCTTACTGCACCGAAGGTGGTGTCTTATGAGACTAGAAAGGTGATATAGTTCGTATCTTGTTTTTTTGTTCATTGATAGCAGGTCTCTATTACTCATACAAGGACTTTGGATTTTAATGAGACTTTGTTTTTTATTTTGTGCAGCCATTTGCAGATGAAATTGGGATTCCTTTCTTAATCAAACAATGGACGTCATTTCTCGATTTGAACATTTTTTATAGAGGCCTTTATAAAACGGCGTCATGAGTAATACATTTGAGTACTATTGTCATGTGACAAGTTTATTTGTACCTTTTAGATTATGGTGTGGGCTATTAGTTTGCTAGAAATATTGGATCTATTTTGTATTACAGGCTTATGTAATGAACCCTTTAATTAAGGTGTTTTAGATATTTTGGGATTATGAAAATGAAGACTCTTTTACGTTTCACAGTTATTGAGTATTGAGCCATTAGAATAAAATAGTGTTTTTATAGATATATAATGTGGGCAGGGATAAGTGAGAAACAACCATTAATGGTTAGCAAATCATTAAAAATTTCAAGCTATATATTATTGCTAATTGAATAACAAAAATAGCCTATAACCGCGTTAATAACCGTCGCTGTAAATAAAATTCAAAAAGAATTCGATGGCAATAGCGATAGTGTAAAACTGATGGAATAGAGTCAAAATATTGTGATAACCCTGTTCCGTAATTAGCTAATTGGTCCTTATTATGAGTTTGATTATATGTTTAATATGATTTTGTGTGTCATTATGTGAAAATGTGTGATTTTGAATTTCTATCTGTTCACCGTAGGAATATCTGTTTGATTATCTGTTTCAGAATTTAAATTGAAGGCCTTATCGGCCACCGAAACCAAAATTGATTGCGCCATTGTGATTGGCATAATTTTTAGAGCCTACGGTGAAATTTAATCAAAAATTGATTCGGACCAGATTAAGTTGATTAAATTGGTGAATTAGTGCCCAATTATTTATTATTATTATATTTATTCGAGTGGGGGCCTTAATACACTCTCCCTTACTTCCATTGAACTAAAAAAAAATCTGAGTTATACAATTGTGAGACAGAGGGGGCCGGCCATAGAGAGAGAGATGGAGAGACTTGTGCAATTTTTGGCTCAAGATTGGGAATTTGAAGATTGAACTCAAGAATTGGCTAGAACTTGGGTGTTTGAAGCTCCTAGGTGAGTAAATCCATGAGTTTAATGTGTGATTTTGTGTATTCAAAGTTGATTAATGATCAAGAGTAAGGATTGAAAGGAATTGAGTTGCTTATGTTAAATTGAAGGTCAATGTATGCATGCATGTATATAATTGCCATGGAATTGCATAATCTAACATGTAGAGTTTTGGTTAAAGCTCATGTTATGATCACCATTTGTATCATCTAAGTTGAAGATGAGAGTAATACATCACATGCATGTACAATTTATGAGGATAGGAGCTTTGAATACATGAATGTGTTATGATGAAAAAGAGTTTGGTGTAATTTGAGCCATGCATGTGATTATTTTGTGAAATTGAGCTCCATTATGTTGTAATTTAGTGTTTGTACCATGTTAATACACGAATATGTGAAGTTTGAGCTGAGATTATGAGTTTGGAACCTTTGGAGGTCGGATTTGAGCTCAAGAACACATTCTGGAAAACCCAGAAATTTGATGTCCGCTCGAGCGTGGAAACCGCCGCTCGAGCGTGAATTTCGTGCTCCCAGTATTTTTTGCAGACCTTGATGTCCGCTCAAGCGGGGAAGTCCACGCTCGAGCGGGGAGCTATGTAGGATGGACTTTCGCTCGAGCGTCCAAGTTCCACGCTCGAGCATAAAAATGACATAACCAGTACTTTTGCAAACCTCATGGGTCCGCCCGAGCGGGGAAGTCCACGCTCGAGCGGGAAGCCTGTTTTTTGAAATTTTGAAAATGCATTCTGTGTTCTGTTTTCCGTTCCCTTTCACTTCTAAGCACTCTTAGGCATACATTGGGCATTGTAATTGAATTAAAGAGATAAGAATGAAGCCTAAAGAGGAATATGTGAATTAAAGAATGGATGGACTTATTTGTGACCCATATGTGTTCATGAGTTCTTTGGACAAAAAGTCTCTTTGCAGCTCATTAGTTTAGTCAATGCGGACCCTACAGGTGAGTTCTCATTCTGATCAATTATTTTACGTGCACATAATCCGATCACATAATCAAACACAACTTCTTTCATATGGAGGTGGGACTCACACATTTAATGGTTACATCTCCTATGAAAAAGTTGTGTCAAATTCTGTGATAAAATTGTGTGGACTTAGAATTATTCTATAAATTTCAAAAAATGTTCAATTTTAAAAAGTTGTGTCCAATTTTGTGATAAATTGTGTGGCCACAACTACATTGAATATTTTTTGGGGGTAAGTAGAATTGTTGATGCTGGTATGATGCTCTCAACGATGGGTCAATGACCAAACCTTCCTGTCAAAAAAGGAACTATTTAATCACCACTATTATTTTGGCCCTAGAAAGAAACAATTATTGTATTTGGCCATTTCCTTTTCTTTTATAGATCATCTGTTACCTATAAAATAAAAATAAAAATATTTATTAAAAAAAGTAATAAATAAAGTGATCATATTAACTGTTATCTTGATTACCATTAATGCTATATGAACATAACAATAGGAAAAATTTAAATTTAATAAATCAATGAATCAAACATAACTCATTAAATGCATGAATCTCATTTATTTGACAGAATTTTTGTAATTAAATAATAAATGGTGATGATAGAATGGAGCAAACCTTACCTAACCATTATTGTATAATAAAATTTTCACCTATTCTGAAATAAATAACAAAATAAGTTGAAACATGTTAATATATTGGTGAGTGTTTTCGATTTATTAATTTCTTATTTATTAATACATTTTTATGATTTTTTTTTTTCTGTTGGCTTGTTTGTTTTTAACCTAAAAATGACTACTTAATACTATATTTTTTATGCACAATTTTAAAGTACAGGTGATATAAGCAAAGAGGTAAACAGAGTCAGAGTAGCCTAAGAGAACCAAATCTTGTGCGTGTAACAAAGAGGTAAACAAAACTTTAGGTGATATAAGTAAAGAGGTAAATTGAGTCAGAGTAGCCAAGTATAGGTGATATAAGCAAAAAAATGTGATAAAAAAATACAAAAATAAATACATGAAGAAGTGACTTAATATTGTGCGTGTAACATTGGATTACAAGAACTAAATCTTTTTGCGATAACTTTAGCTGTTTCGTCCAATCTGATAGAGTCAGAGTAGCCTAAGAGAACCAAATCTTGTGATGAGTAGATATTTGCAAATCTGGTTTTGCAAGCACATGGGGCTTCTTTTCTTCTTTTCCAATTTAATCTGCGTACTTCAAATATATTTTGTGGACTAGTTTCTAGTGTTGTGATTTTCTTTTTGTGTTCATTTCCCCCAAATTCTTTACATAGTTCTCAATTCTGAGTTGCATTTCAGAAAGTAGTCTTAAAGATTTAATTATTTGGTTTTATGTGGTTAATTGATTGTTATTTGTCAATTGATTAGGTGGTCAGCTTGCTTATGTTATTACTTTTGTTATTAGATCTTTGAATGGGTTGGATTGGATGGCTTAGTTCTTTCTACAACTATCCAAACTAAACAAAACCACAGCCCAATGGGCTTCCCAGAATAATTCCCTCTTATTGTGGGTTAAACTGAACCTACCTTCTTAATTTGATTAATGATTACTCTCAAGAATGATAATACATGCAAATTAGAAAAAGGAGTTGGTTCAGCTCAAATCTAATAAATCTGCTTGCCTAGGCCAAATCAACGCATATCAACTTTAACCCTTATAAAGAATTTTGATCTTGTTTGTTGAATTATGTCAAGTTTAATTGTTATGTCCTTTATGAATTTCACTTAAAATGAAAAAAAAAGAAGAAAGAATCTGAATGGTCATACATTCAGAGTATGGTTTTGTAATGCATTTATATGACCAGAAAAAAAATATGATATAGTTGAATTTTATACACTGTTTGATCTGTGTTCTGGGTGCTTGAGAGTTGTTTGTGATTTGATGTATAATTTATATATATACAATGACATTGCATTCATAGAGGTTACTAGTAAATTTGAGCATCTGTTGTCTCATTGTGCATGCAAGCAAGCGTGGCGGATTATTCTTTTATCAATTTCCTTTCTAAATTGTTAACTGATTAATTATTCAACCTTTCTGCATGAGCATAGATAATACTATAGAGTTGTAATGATTGGAAACCCTCTTGTACTTTTAGAGGTAGTAATATTTATGACCAGAAACACAAAATGCTTGTGTGTGTATTATCATTTATGAATAATGTTAAAAGTCTCTTAAGCTTTCAATTTACTTTATTCATTTGTGGGAACAGGGTGGTCTTGTACATTGATTTTAATTTTTTGTGGAGAAATTTTAAGAAACTATTTTCACTTCATGTGTACTTTCTAACATTTTGATACAAACATTATTTCCACTTCCCCCCCTCCTATTTGCAGCAACTACCTGTTCAAGCTTTTGCTCATCGGAGATTCGGGTGTTGGCAAATCATGTCTCCTTTTGAGGTTTGCTGTAAGTTCTCCCTCTTTTACACAGCTTCTTCTTCTTTTCCCCCTCTATTTCTATTCCTTCTTTCTTTTTCAAGATTGCTTTAATTAGCCATGTTGTTTTGATGTGATTGTGTTATTTTTCAATGTTTTCTGGTCTCCAGACAAATGTGGCCTCCAGACAGATGCCAAGTTCATTAACCATTTTTATTATTTCTGTAATCAGAATGATAGAGAATTCACACTCTTGAGATTATATGTTAATTATATGACAATTTTGTTTTTAGTCAAAATTTATTGTGATGTTTTCTTCAACATGGTGTCCCCTGTTTTTCTATAAACTGTTTTCTTGCTAACAACTCTCATCTTTCTTCTTTTCTCTGGACATGCAGTGGGATACTGCTGGACAAGAACATTTTAGGACAATCAGTAGCAGTTACTATCGCGGTGCACATGGCATTATTGTAAGCATTGAATTGTCTTCTTGTTGAGTTTGCTTTTTAATGTATGGATTTAGTCTTATTCTAGTGGTTTTGTTGTCAGGTTGTTTACGATGTGACTAATCAAGGGAGTTTTAACAATGTCAAGCAATGGTTAAGCGAAATTGACCGGTATGCAAGTGAGAATGTAAACAAGCTTCTAGTTGGAACAAGCGTGACCTTACTGCACCGAAGGTGGTGTCTTATGAGACTGGAAAGGTGATATAGGTCGTATATTGTTTTTTTGTTCATTGATAGCAGATCTCTATTACTCATACAAGGACTTTGGATTTTAATGAGACTTTGTTTTTTATTTTGTGCAGGCATTTGCAGATGAAATTGGGATTCCTTTCTTAATCAAACAATGGACG